GGCTTGGGGTTTGGGATTCATTTACCTGAATAGGGCTTCTAGTAGTATAGAGTTTAGGGTCTAGGGTTCATAGGAATAGAGTGTCTAGTGCTCCAGATTTTAGGTATCCCTGAATAGGGCTTCTAGTAGTCTAGGGCTTAGGGTCTAGGGTTTAGGGTTCCAAACCCTAAACCCTAAACCCTAAACCCTAAACCCTAAATCCTAAACCTTAAACCCTAAACCCTAAACCCTAAACCCTAAACCCTAAACCCTAGACCCTAAACCTTATAGTAGTCAAGGGCATAAAACCCCAAATTTTAGGGGTTCATTTGGTGCCCCAGGCGCTGAGCCATTCGAAGCACTGAAGGAGTCGTTGCCTTCTTGGTCGGACTGAGGACACCACTCCTGCCACCCGCGGAAGAGAATGGGTTTAGGGTTTAGGGTTTAGGGTTTAGGGTTTAGGGTTTAGGGCACATCTCTAGGTAGTCATTCCTTGCCCCCCCCCCCCCCCCCCCCCCCCCTGCCCACCCAAGCCTACCCCCTAACACCGACAAACTTTCGCAACTGCCAGATGCTAAGATCCGGACTACGCAAGTTTGAGTGCAACTACAATGTCTATGCCTCCCTCATGCAACCTCAACACACGTGTGTTTGGCAACCGAACCTCCAAACCCTAAACCCTAAACCCTAAACCCTAAACCCTAAACCCTAAACCCTAAACCCTAAACCCTAAACCCTAAACCCTAAACCCCAGACTCCATCGGAGCCATCTCCAGCTTCGGAAGGTTCAGCTGGCTCAGCCTAGGATGGTCCCTGAAACCCTCCGGAAAAATACTCCTACATATGAACCTATTAAACCCAATAAGGGTTTAGGGTTTAGGGTTTAGGGTGTAGGGTTTAGGGTTTGAAAATTACAAAATGTCCCAAGGGCCTACCTAGCAGCTGCTCAGCCAGGGCTTCCGCAAGCAGGGCCGGATCGGCTTCGCCATCGGCCGAGGAGGATGCGGAGGACATAGGCACCTCGACTTTACCGCACTTTACCCAAGGGCTAGGGTTTAGGGTTTAGGTTTTCCAACACAAGGCTCAGAGTAGTTCGGAGTATGTTCAAGGTACCCCCATGTTGCGACATGCTCGAACCTCTGAACCCTAAACCCTAAACCCTAAACCCTAAACCCTAAACCCTAAACCCTAAACCCTAAACCCTAAACCCTAAACCCTAAACCCTAACCCTGACTCAAGTCTCAGATCAGGCGCTGTAGGGGGGCTCATAGGCATGGGCCCCTCCGATGTGGAGCTCTCTGCCTCATGCTCCGTCTTTGAGGCTGCACTCGGAACTGCCTTGTGGCTTTCCCACGCATGGCTTGGCAATTCCTTGGTCTCCTAGAGTCCCTTTTGACTCGGGGAGCTGAGGCCCGATAATCCTAAAGTCCCTAAACCCTAAACCCTAAACCCTAAACCCTAAACCCTAAACCCTAAACCCTAAACCCTAAACCCTAAACCCTAAACCCTAAACCCTAACCCTAAACCCTAAACCCTAAACCCTAAACCCTAAACCCTAAACCCTAAACCCTAAACCCAAACCCTAAACCCTAAACCCTAGGGTTTGTAGTTTAGGGTTTAGAGGCACGAACAAAAACAAACACGTTGGCAGTTCGCCACAGCTTCCGAGGTTTCTTGGTGGCCTGTAGCTTTATCACTGCCGAATTCAAGAATAAAAGAAACACAATACACGTAAGTTGCAACCATTAAGAAACATAGATATTCATAATCATTAGTATCAGTCATAAGAAATAGGCATGACAAGAACCGGAGACTCTGATTACCTACAGTTTTGTAGTAACGACCCCTTGAAGAGTAGGTCTAATCACTGAAAACCGTAGGTAAAGAGGGTCCCGGTCCCAGGAAGAATCCGGAGACCAGATAAACAAGAAACATAAACTTTCATCACAAAGAAAGCTTAAGAAGAACCTGGGACTCTGTTTACCTACAAGTTGATCATAACTACCCCTCAGCTGGTAGGTATAACCCGTGAAAAACTGCAAATAAAGGGGACTCCCAAGAAGCATGCACACAACATACAAGTCGCTAAGAAACAAAATCATTCACAATCCGCAGCATCAGTCACAAAAAAAAGCCTAAACCTTAAACCCTAACCCTAAACCCTAAACCCTAAACCCTAGCCCTAAACCCTAAAACCTAAACCCTAAACCCTATACCCTAAACCCTAAACCCTGAAGGCTCTGCGCGCCCGGCTGCTTGTGGGGGAGTGTTGCTCGGGACCTTCGGGGGCTGCTCCCGAGGCTTCTCCACAGGCGCTGCAGGAGCCGAAGGAGGCTTCGGAAAATCGACCATCCTGGGTTTAGGGTTTAGGGTTTAGGGTTTAGGGCTAGGGTTTAGGGTTTAGGGTTTAGGGTTTAGGGTTTAGGGCTAGGGTTTAGGGTTTAGGGTTTAGGGTTTAGGGTTTAGGGTTTAGGGTTTAGGGTTTAGGGTTTCGGGTTTCGGGTTTCGGGTTTCGGGTTTCGGGTTTCGGGTCTAGGGTCTAGGGTTTAGGGTTTAGGGTTTAGGGGTTTCGGGTTATGGTTTAGGGTGCATTCCGAACTAGGAGTCCGTTTTTTGTGGCTGTAGGGTTTGGGGTTTTAGGGGCAATCGAGGCCCTTACACGATGTTCGTGAGGGTTCGGTGGGGCGTCTTCGGGCTCCAAGGGTTTTGCATCGCCAAGATTGCTCCAAGATACGAAAGGAGCCACGGAGGGTTTAGGGTTTAGGGTTGATGGTTTAGGGTTTAGGGTTTAGGGTTCAGGGTTGAGTTGCTTGAGGGTCTATTGATTCCGCCTCTTGTCAGAACACGAACTTGCTGCTCAAGTGCACGGAAAGGAGCAGCTGACCTTTCACATGCTGTCCCTGTACATCCAACAGCTGGAGCCAGTTCGGGCCACCGTCTTCTTCTGCGCAAGCAAGCCGCCGCCCCACCGGAATCTTCCTAGGTCTCTTCACTGGCAGCACGGGCCACCAAAAAGCGCGAGTTGTTGAACATGGATGTTGATAAACAAGATCAGGTACGCTGCGTGGGAAACACTGCAGGTGCGTAGAAGAAAACACACAAAAACATACATGTGCATTCGGGGCTGGTCGTAAGCTCTAAACTGTAACCCTTTTGAACCCGGGGCTAAACCCTAAACCCTAACCCTTCTCGAACTCCCCCCCCCCCCACACCAATACGCCTCCTTTGAATTCGGTTCGGTGGAGGGGGGAGGGCCAAGGCCGAGATTCAGCGCACCGACCAGGTCCCCGCGATCGTTCTGAAAGCCAGCCCTTAGCTTCTCCCGAAGTGCTGGTGTGGGGTTAAGGGTTTAGGGTTATAGGGCTTTCGGTTATAGGGTATGGGGTATGGTATAGGGTTTAAGGTTCTTCCGTCGAAAGATTGTGGGTAGAGCTTCCAGGGTAAGAGGGCACTAAGCGATGTCAGACGCCGCGGGAATTTGCCAAACAGATGTTCAGGTTTCAGGAAACCTTGGCCTCAGAAAACAGGCTACCAGATTGTCGGGTGTTTGTTTGGGGAATAGGGTTTCTATAGGGTTTATAGGGTTTAGGGTTTAGAGTTGCAAACGTCCCGAAGCCCCCTCCCAACGCCATGCGGAGGCTCAAGGGCAGCGCCGATGCCGCGGAGGCCGCGGAGGCCGCGGCGTGATCGCGCAGGGCCGCAAGCCCGCCCTGCTTGAAGGCCTTGTTGCACAAAAGGTCTCAAGTTAGCTTAGGGTCTAGGGTCTAGGGTCTAGGGTCTACGGTTTGGGGTTTAGGGAAAAGGGTATAGGATTTAGGGTTTAGGGTTTAGGCAACCGTCAGAAGGCAACTGGGTTGAGCTTACAACCCCTTTGATAAATCTTAGTAGAAGGGAGCCGCTGTAGATCCAAACAAGGAACATAAAACCCTAAACCCTAAACCCTAATCCCTAATCCCAAAGGCCAAGCTAGTTAAGGGTCTGCGTCAGGGTTTCGTGGTGGAGGGTCCCGCAACATGCCCAAACCCGGTTGCCCAGTGACCATAGTATAATACGGTCACCCTCTTTTGGGCTGGTTACTGTGTAAGGGAACCCTAAACCCTAAACCCTAAACTCTAAACCCTAAACCCTAAACCCTAAACCACTAGGCCACCAAGAACATTACAGCTGTGGGGCGGAGAAGCCGCCCAGTGCGGCACCGGCCAAGGTCTTCTTCTCCTGGTGCCCAGCACCCTTCCTTGGCAAGCTGCGGGCTGCCCTATGTAGGGTTTAGGGTTTAGGGTTCACTTCTAAGTGCGAACGCTCGGAACTCGCTGATCACTGAAGTCAGGACACACAGTTTTACTGAAACGCTCAGGCATGGGGACGAGCGTCGAAGTCGAAGCAATCAAACTCGCGACTCACGAACGAGTCCCCGACCCCGAAGCAAAGAGCAAGGACAAGGAACGGTCACAAACCTCGTACCCACTTCCCGTGGATCATCACGCACATACCCGATCGAGCATGCGTATGATGACAAACGAAGTAAAAGACCGAACCCCCTCCCCTTCGCAACACAGGGCGGGTGGGTGGGCCAAAAATCAGATGAGATCCTTTGGGGGATCTGCGGCTGACGATCGTCTTTAGCCAAAAAGGCAACGATCGTCATGCCTTTGTGATCTCGCAACCAGAAGTGACCCCTGAACCCTAACCAACCAGACCGGTATTCAGGACCCACTTCTAAGTGCGAACGCTCGGAACTCGCTGATCACTGAAGTCAGGACACACAGTTTTACTGAAACGCTCAGGCATGGGGACGAGCGTCGAAGTCGAAGCAATCAAACTCGCGACCCACGAACGAGTCCCCGACCCCGAAGCAAAGAGCAAGGACAAGGAACGGTCACAAACCTCGTACCCACTTCCCGTGGATCATCACGCACATACCCGATCGAGCATGCGTATGATGACAAACGAAGTAAAAGACCGAACCCCAGGCCCCCAGCCCCAGCCTCGAGAGAGCACACTGTTTCCCACAGGAGCATGAATCAATTGCTGTCAGCGAGACGGCCCGGCCATGAACAATTCACCGTGATCCAGCCGACAGCTTCGCCGAGCGACATCAGATCACGAGATGGCCAATCGGCCGGGTTTGAATCCGACGAAATCCGATCAATGAAAATGTTGGCTCGTAGCTCGAGAGCCAAGTTCCAGAACACCTCAATCAAAGAGGAAAGATCCTCCTTCGCGGAGTAGCCCTTCACGAGCGCAGCCTCAACCGGCTCAGAATCGATCAAAAGCAACACATCTCGATCCCTCACGCTCTCCTTGAACGTTTCGAGAGCCAGCACCGGTGCGATCATTTCGATCGGCACGATCTGGGTCGTCCTTGGGATCCATGCTCGAGAGACCCGTTTCGGTATCGTCTCTGTGAACTGTACAGGGTGCAGCAGGCGACGATCCAACATTACTGCGCCGACCCGATCTGGGCCCCGCTCACTTTTCCTCATATCCGGTGTGAAGCCATCGGTGAAGATCACGACGTCACACTTCTTCGGAGCCCTTAGGGGAATCGGCCGAGGAGGCCCATGCTCGATCAGGAACTTCCACTGAGTCAGCGATCGCCTAAGCGCAGAGTTCAGCAACATTCGATCGTCGGCCCGATCCTTCATGTACTGCCTCTCCGAGATAGGCCTGAAGAAAGCACGCCCAATCTTTCCCCAGAGTTGGCTAGAACCGAACATGAGCTTGCCTTTCAGCTTTCCAGCCGAGCCCGGATCTAGCGAGCCCTTCTCCAGGATCTCCTCGATCGCCGCTGCCAGCTCCTGCTTGCGATCATCCTTGATCTCCAAGATCATATCTTTGAGATTGTATGTCACTCCCAAGATCGTCGGGGACGACGAGCACTGAAGCTTCTTGGAATCGAAGCGAGCGCCCAACCACCAGTGCACCGCGATCGCGATCCGGTGGGCCTCGTCCACTCTGTCAACCTCATCGAACCCGTACTTGTCGTCGTAGAAGTTGAAGGCAAGGATCTCAAAGACCTTCGTGAGGATCTCGTTGATGGCCGCCGAACGGCGGTTATAGTTGTAGACCGCCGACACCAGGCCAAACGAATGCCCGATCATGACAAAGAACTTGGGGCGACCGTCCGCTGGATCCTTCATGGCGATCACGCTGAACTTGCGATGTGTGGGGGCGATCGGGACTTGCCGATAGGCCTTCTTCTCATCGAGAACCCATCCTGAGAGAGCTCGATCGCCCAATGCCATCTTGAGTTCCTTCAAAGCAGCAACGTTCAGATCCGTGGAAGGCAGCTGGAGCTTTTCCGTGATCTCCGTGATCTTGTTGATCATGTTGGAGGTAGCACTATCGCAACCCCTGACCTTATCCTTCTGAATGACCTCGAATCTTTGCGTAGGGATCCAGTCATCAGCACCAACGAACCGGGAGACGGCGTCCTCGGAGTCGAACGGCCCCACACAAGAACCGTCAGCCACATCGTCGAGAGTTCCTTCCCAAATTTTCCTTAGAGCATCAGAAACCGGAACCCCACCGACCCTATTAACGACCATCCTTCGCAGATCCCAGGCCCTGTCGAGTGCCTCAGAGATAGGACGAACAGCTTGCGGCTTGACATACTTCGGCCATCGATTGGACCTGGAGATGGGACCCACGATGGGAAAGCCGTAGAGCAAGAAGCGGGGCAGCTCGTGATCCGCGGAACCTGCTGCCTTGAGCAATTCCTCGAACAGACAAATGTGGCAGAACTGCCCCAGTTGCGGAAGATGGTTTTCCGGAACTCCTCGCAAAAGGCGACGAAGAGCCCGATCGGAAACCGCGGCAATCCGCTGGAGCGAAGCAGGCATGAGCTCCAGCGCGCGCTTTCCCCACCATGCTAATTTGAGCTCTCGGCGGCTGGCCAACTGCCGTGGGAACTGTGCCATGACCTTGATGATCACAGGCAATGGTTCCGGGAGTTCAGTTGGCACAGTGAACGGGTGGAGGATCTTCATGGTCCATTGCATCGCCACCCCCGGTTCGACCTCCGTGTCCAAGAGCGGTTTGACGGCGCCCCGTTTGAGCTGGTAGCCGGCGAACTGTGCGAGACGAGCGCCCTCAGCCTGTCGATGGCCTCTCCAGAGACGAACGTCTCCTAGCGGCCTCTTACGGGGCGCATCATCTTTGAGCGCGTAGGTTGCCTGGAACCACGGGCAATCGCCCGAAAGTATTTCTTGGATCGTGCCAGCAATGGTTGCACAGAGCGCCTCGGGGTAGACTTGCGCAGCCTTTGTGACGAAGCAGACCCGGCCTTGAACATCACGAACAGCGCCCCGAAGGCGGAGGTGACCGTGTCCCCCTGGACAAGCGCGAGCCCATTGCGTGCAAATTTGGGAGGAGACCAGGAAGCGCGTGGGCTTGCGAGATCTCGCACCAAAGGCGCACTGATCCACATCGACGTCGAAGAGCCGGTGGCGCTGCCGCAAACTCAAGACCACAGGTGTGACCCATAAAATGCTGGAGAGCGGGTTCTCGAGCGAGAAATCGCCTCCTGCAGCAAGGACTATCTCCGCGATCTCGATTGAGCGCCCGAGCAGCAAATTGCCTAGATCTCGTACAGCTTGTAAATGCGGTGGGAGATCGGGGAAGCCCATCGGCACATCCGAAGACCGAACTGGCGGGGGGCCTTCCGGAAGTTCGCGAGCGATGCTGAAAGAGCTGCAGGGTGTGCCCAGGTGGACGAACATGATGGCCCCTGCCCGGGCAAGCGCCAAAATGCGATCCCAAAATTGAGCATCAAGGACATCACGAGCTTGCGCGACTTCTCCACTTTGGACCACATCCACAGGCGGGAGAACGGGCACGTGTAGAGCACGAAGATGACGTGTGATTCCCCCTTCGCCTGCGAAGATCTCGAGAAAGAAAGGTCCTTGTCGTGCGACCTCCACTGGATCCATGGGCACGTCATCCCACGTGAGCCACTGATCAGGAGGCTTGCAAGGTTTCCCCGCTATCCGAGCCTGAGTAGACTCATCATTCGCGGGGAGTTGCTCGATAATTGACCACTGGCCCGGAGGAGGCTCGAGCGACCCCCCCCGCGCCTGGTCGGTGGGCGCTCAGTGATTTCCGTGCCAGGGGTGTCCCTGACCACACTGCACACATGTGTGCAGATCCCGGCACTGATCACCGAAGCGGCACCCAAGAGAGCAGTTGAACCAAGGGCACCGCTTCTTGCCAGAGTACTTGAAGCTCATGATCTTGGACCATTCTTTCTCGGGGATTCGAGCATCCCGCGCGATCTTCGGCACTTCTCCGCGTGTTTCGCGATCTTTGTCTTTCTTCTTGTTGTTGTTGAGCTCCTTGGCGGCTTTCAGAAGCGCGCGCTGCTTCTCGCGCCGAGCCCGGTTCTTCTTTTGTTTGGGAGAGAGCTCCGCTTTCTCCCCCGATTGAGGGCTTGGGGAACGGCCTCTCTTCTTGGGGGTCGAAACTTGTCGATCTCGGCAGACGACCGCGCATCATTCCAGAGCTGCTTGTGGTTCTGCAGGACCTCCAGAAGTGCCGCCGAAAAAGAAGGGAAATCACGCCTTCGATCATGGTTAAGTTTAAATACTTTCTTGCGAATGAGCGTGTCCACCGAGAGCAGGAGAGCCAGACCGCGATTGTCATGTCGCCACTCTTCGAGCTCGGCGAGGTACTTAAGTGGCCCGGCCTTGTGCGAGAACTCACAGATGTTGAGGTACTCGAGCACCACGAAGAAGGCGTGAAGCCGATCCAGGACTTGGCTCTCAGACGCCACGGAACATTTCGAATCCATCTGGACGACCTTGATCAGGTCGTCAGCCGTCTTGGTGAGGCCGCCAGTCTGCACGAGCCGATCGGCCCTTGTGCGCATCTCCGCGACTTCATAGAACGAGACGGCTCCATGAACTACGTAATCACGGTAGAGCTTTTCCACGAGCTTTTGGTGAGGCTCTTTGTGGTAGTTCAGGATCACGTCCGGGTGAGCCTGCACGAAGATTTCCCTGAACTCGGCGTGATCCTCCCCTGGGATTTCAGGAATCTTGTTAGGATCTTCTTCCATCTTGGAGCGCCTAGTGGCTACATGATCTTGCAAAGTGGAGGACGAACGCCACACAGCCGCGAGCATCGTCAGGGAGAGCTCGCGTTCGGGGGGAGACGCCCCGAACTTGTTCTCATCCGCAACGAGCGTCTTGAGCGTCGTCTTGACCGTGGCAATGTTGTCGCCGAGCATGGCAACGCGCTCTACAGACACCATGCCGATCTCGGCCATGAGCAAGCACATGTTTGATGGCAGCTTTTGGCGCCCAAAGATCTGGCGAACTGCCAGCTCAGGGACCTTCCCATCTGGGTAGGCCGTGCGATCGACCATGGCTTGAAGTATAAGCTCGTGACCCGAAGAGCAAAAACTTGCAGAAATGCGAACTCAGAACACGTCAAAGCAAAGCAGAGCAACACGAGGCTTCACAGCGGGACCTTTCTCAGGTGGCTCCACTGTAGAGCTTCACGATGTCCGGCCGAGCTTTAGCGCAGAGTTTGCACAGAAGTTTGGCATCAGGCAAAACCGACCCAATGTTTATGAAATCAGGGTCACGAACCTTTCTACAAGCGAGCTCCTCAATAGAGTCCGCGGAGCAACAATGGAACTTGTACTCATATGAAGAGCTACACTTCTCTGGGGCTTTCATGAAGAAAGCCGAAAGCGAGAGCTCTGCTTCTTCACCATCCTCGATCTCGTCATCTTCCTGCGCGCACTTCGGGTGATATGCCCGCTTGATCTCGGTGACGATCTCACGGATCATGACAGCTGGAACTGAAGTCCTCGAGCGGGTGTACTTCAGAACTAGGGGCCCGGGGTTTTTCCAGTTCGCTTGGAGGCCGATCTCCTCGGTCGAGCGTTTGAGGTGAACCGCCTGGTCCAGCATGGTGACTCTGGCAGAGTGCCATGTGAGCTTCGAGACGGCCCCCAAGACTGCCGACGGAGCCCCGGCCTTCTTTGCGATGCCATGAAGCAGGAAATGGAGCCACTGCAAGCCTCGTCCATGGGTTGGAGCGTCTTGGCCGAAGGCGAGCTGCGAAGCCAGATCTGCCATCCAGAAGTCCCTGCGGCGAGCCTGCGGCGAAACTTCTTGAAGGAAGAGCTTCCATCCCTCCTGGAGCCAGGGCTTGTCCGAGAAGGAGACATCTGGGACTATGAACTTAGTCCCTCTCCGCTTTCGTTCGGTTTTAGTCTGCCAAGAGACCCCGAAGAGGCCGTCATCTGTCATCTCCAGCTCCGACGGCTTCACATGAACAGCGTCGTCGAATCTCAAGGAGGCAAAGATCATGCAGAGGACCCACCAAATGAACAGGCGGGCCGGCACGAACGTCTCCTCGAGAACGAACGCCTCCATCAATTTGATGAGCTCAAGGGGGTAGGGCAGTGCCTCTTTGAGCGGTCTGCCTCTCTTGGCAAAGACCTCGTTCTCCAATGCTAAGAACTGCGGTTTGGACAGACCGGGCACTTTCATGCTGATCCGAAATCCGACCCATCTTAGAGCAGTTCTGAGGGACGGGATCACCGTCGGGCCACATTCTTGTTGATCGAGGAACAGAGCATACTTCAAGACCTTATCCTCGGTGATCGGAAAGAAGGGAATGGAGTGGCGATCGGCCCAACATTCAAATCGTTCAAAACGTCGCACGTGACCACTCATTGTCGATGGGGCCCCAGCAGTCAGAACGAGGCTTTTCAAACGTTCTTTTTCGAGCGAGGAAAGGATCTCAGGCCCTTCACCCGCGGGGCAATGATCCTCAATTATCCCTGCAAAGGGGCCTGCACGAGTGGCAATATCTTCAAGCCTGCGAGCCCACTTGAGCTTTTCTGCCATTTCTTGATCAAGAAGCGGCGAATTAGAGCTCGACGAGCCGGGCCCTAAGAGCTTTGGCTTCGGTGACCTCACTGGCGCGAGCAAAGCCAGCAAGGCGGACCTCTTGCGAAGCTCACTTGCAGCGTCTGCTCCTTGGGTGCGCGCAACCTTCGCGGTCTGCGACATACCCAGTTGGAAGCAGAAAGATTCAGAGAACACTGCTTCAGCGGCCTTTGTAAAGACCCAAAACTGCTCAAGCATCTCAGGTCGAGCCGCTAGCGCCTTGTGGTGATCTGGCGCCAGAGAGGGTGACCACTCCAAAACTTTAGCAGCGAACTCTGATTCAGAACAAACTTCCATAGCAAGGACCAGTTGCAGATTCGAGAGATGAGTGCGGGTGACAGATTCTCGAAAGAGATCATCAAAACAGGGAAAAGAGAGAATCTTTGTCACCCAGCGATCGCTGGGAGCATCAACCTGCAACATCTTTGAGCCTCGAGCCCGGAGTCAGGATATCTGGCCAAGGCGTGTGGAGTAAGGAGACTTTCCCCACCCCCCCACGCAAGACCCGACACCCCAAGAAACCCTCATCCCGAGAGACCCGAGCAAGAGACCCCAAACAGCAGGCCGACGCGCCGAACGCGAGCCGAGGGTCGAAGAGGAGGGACGAAGGGTGGGGAGCGCGCAAAGACCCCCAGACGGGACCCCCTAGAAAGCGCGCCGCGCCCAGCACACCCAAGACCCAGCGCCCCACCCCCGGCAGCGGCAGAAGCTGAACCTCCCACCCCTGTGACCGAAGCACGGGAGAGGAAAGAACCCGGAGGAGAGCAGGGAGACAACAGCACCAACCAAACTCAACAAACAAACCAAAGCAGAGCATGAACATGCTGCCATGATGTTTGTGGAGCTGGTGCCGTGTCAGACCATGCACAAGTATGCGAGCGCATGCACTTCCCATGCTGCGAACGCACACAGCCCTTCGCGGGCGATCAACTTTTTGCATCACGTGAAGTGAATCAATGAAAATGCGAGCGCTCAGGGTGAACGGGAAAACGAGCGACCCTAAGCTTTGCAAAATCGCGACTCCGGAGCTACTTCCGAGCCTTCACTTTCGAACCTGCCCAGATCAGGGCGTCCTATGGGGGCGGAGCATCTGAGGAGGGCCTGCTGGAGCCGGCATCGCATCGTCGACCTCCGTCTCGGTGTCCACCTCTTCATCGATCAGCGGCGGCGGCGTAGGCCCGAGCGATGCAGGCTGATTGACCGGCTGAGCCGGCGCCTGACTTGAGGATGTCGGCCGAGCTGGAGAGGGTGCCGGCGGTGTCGATGGAGCAGCCGTCGTCTCAGTCTCGATCACCTCCTCGATGACCGGCTGTTGAGCTGCCCCGGGCACCGGAGCCGGCCCCTGGTTGGCAGATCCCTCCATGTACTGGGCGAACATGCCCGGGGTCAACTGAGCTGTCGACCTTGCAAAAGAGCGGTCAGCACGAGCGGCATCACGACCTCGATCTTCACGATGGCCCCGAGTGGTCTCCTGCTCGTGCCGGAACTGCGGCGCAGCACCAAACGATCGCACCTGGAGCTCGTACTGGGTGCGAGCCGAGCCATGCTCCTCCGAGCGAGTATCAGCGATGCTGGCCACATCCTGGGAGGCCGAGGCTGCCTCTTGCCAAGATCCACTCGTGACAGCGAGCGGTCCGGATGGAGCTGGCCGTTCCTGAGCTTGATCGTGGGACATGTTGGCCAGAGCCTGGATCGGCACCACCACAGCTGACCGCACGAAGAGCTTCGAGGTACACTGGAGGTGAAAGTTGCCCGCGTCCAAGCCACCCACGAACGTGATGAGAGCCCCCACCCGTGTCGGATCCGTGGTGAACGCCGCGTTGAACCACGCAGTGTGCACAGCTGCCAGCTGAGCGAACTGCTCAGTTTGCTCTGGACCTTCAACTCGAGCTCGCTGTCGACGGACCTCCTGGATGGTGTTGATGAGCGTGGGCCCCGAGATGTGGGAGACAGTGAGCCAGGTGCCTGGCACAGAGGTGCGAGCGCACTTCAAGTCGATCCTGTTGTTCGCGTCCCGGAACCGGAACTCGACTCTGTCAGCATCATTGCCATAGGCGTCCTGAGAGGCACGATCGCACACTCTCAGCTCCCATCTCGAGCGAGCTGAGTCACCAGCGACCACTGTGCCCTCTGGACCCACAGAGTACGTTCGACCTCCGCACTCGAACGAGAAGACACTGACTCGCCACCCCAAGAAGGCAGCCACCACCACCGAGAGGCGGGCTCTCCCAGCATTGCAGCTCCTGATCAAGAACTCGTCGCAGAACTGCTGCTGGACCGAGAGGTCGGTGTCTGCTCTGAACCCTCGAAAGATCCAGTGGAAGAGCAGCTCGTTGCCGTTGAAGACCTTGACGTCGGTGTAGGACGGCGAGCTGTCACGGAGAACCGGCCACGTGAAAGGGTGGAATGCTGGGTGGTCGAGCGCCCTTGCCGTCGGAGCATCCCAGCCAGCACACGGAGCCCCAGTCACGCTGTCGATGGCGATCGCCAACGTAACCTTGATGCCGTCGAGGGTGTAGTTCGCGAAGAGCGACATGTGGAACCCTGTGTTTGGCGGCATCACTTGATCACGTTCTGTGAGCACGTTGATGGAGCTGGCGCTGTTCGTCATGATCTCTTTCACCAGCCAAGCCTGAAAAGGCGACACCATCCGGCTGTCACGATCGTCAGCCATGATGACCGACGAGCGGGTCGCATCGTCATCACAGACTGCGACCGATGCCAGATAGTTTGGCAAGCGAACCTCATAGGGATCATGAGCAGCATTCGCCCGTGGAAAGCGACCTCCTCCTCGACGATCGCCTCCACCATGCCCTCCATAGCCGCGATCGTAGCCTCCCCATCCAGCCATCTTCCCAGGCCCGAGAGAACTAGGATCCCAAAAATCAGATGAGATCCTTTGGGGGATCTGCGGCTGACGATCGTCTTTAGCCAAAAAGGCAACGATCGTCATGCCTTTGTGATCTCGCAACCAGAAGTGACCCCTGAACCCTAACCAACCAGACCGGTATTCAGGACCTAGGGTTTAGGGTTTAGGGTTTAGGGTTTAGGGTTTAGGGTTTAGGGTTTAGGGTTTAGGGTTATGCATCATGAGCAAAATTTAGCTTGAAGAAGCTGCACCTTTTCAACTGTCTTCATGTGCGGCCCAGGCGGTGGCTGCGGTGAGTGCAGCTTTTCCCGAAACCCTAAACCCGAAACCCCACATTCAAAATTTTGTGGAGTGCGCTCTGGGGCCTACAAGCCACCCGGCCTGATGAGATAGGCGGTACCCCATACCCTAAATGGGGCTTTATGAAAATAGGTGACCCGCCCAAAAAAGATCCCCAAGTAGCAGGATTCCCTTATAAGACCCCAAGAAGGTACCCCTGTATTTCCGAACCTCAAATCTCTACATTTCTGTGATTCAAGAACTCTAGGGTTTAGGGTTTAGGGCTTAGGGCCCTAAATCTCTCCATTTCTGTGATTAAGAACCATGAAACCCAAGCCCAGCTTCTGCATAAGCGCGATGTGGAGGTGCGCGGAGTCCACGAACTGGGCTTCAAAACATCTGCTCTGGGGCACGCGGAAGAGGGCCTCGCGAGCCTGCCGCGAGACGGTGTGTGCCAGGTTGGGTGGACTAGACAAAGCCCGGCATTCGAAGCCCCAAACGCAATTCCCATAGCTGGGATGGGCTGCAGGGCAGTATGTAGTCCTGGAGAGTGCTGGCTATTAAGTCCAGTGCTCACCTAGACTAAACCCTAAACCCTAAACCCTAAACCCTAAACCCTAAACCCTAAACCCTAAACCCTAAACCCTAACTGCTCTAAAGCTTTCCGCCCTCGAGCTCTCAACCCTACAGTCCAAGCCCTGAACCCTGACTCTGGAAACTTGGGGCCGGCAAACCCTAAACCCAACACCCTAGCTACCCTAAGTAACAGATAGGGAACTCTGCAGGTGGGTATGAGCTCGGGATCCCCTAGCACCTCTTTTTGCAACTCTAAACCCTCCAAAACCCCCCGATTCCGAAATGCGCCTTCCACTGAGGGGCCTCCTCTGCCGGAACGTGCAGCCATGGAGTGACTTTTGCTCCGAACGCCGTACCCTCAGGGTCATCTGAGGCGCACCTCCAGGGCGTAATAGGGGGGTCGGAATAATTATTAAGAAGTATTCCCTTATGGTCGCTGTATCAATGTACGATAAGAGCCCGCAAAACCCTATTCTAATTGTTAAGGCCCCTATATTAGGGGTTCTTTTGGGGTTTGGGGTTTGGGGCGTCACTGCGATCCATATAACTCAAACAGCTGATGCTTGTAATCAGCAGATGTGGCGTATCATGCTTCCGCTTTGTTGATGACGACCGTCAACGTTGTACACTCTTCTGATCAAACTCTCAGCCAAGCATTGGTCTCTGTTTGAGGGTTTGGTGTGTCGGAGCTTAGGCGAGGATGGTGTTGCACGTGACTTCATCGCGCAAAAAGGAAGTACAAGTCTAACACAACAGGGCAGAACCGCCGCCGAAATGGCAAACCCCAACGCCCAAAACCCTATAAACGCTATAAGGCCCCCTTCACCCCTCCCCAAACCAGAAACTCTAAACCAACCCTAAACCCTAAACCCTAAACCCTAAACCCTAAACCCTAAACCCTAAACCCTAAACCCTAACCCAAAACCCAAAACCCAAAACCCTAAACCCTAAACCATGCGAAACCGACGAGGCGCAGGGTAATGACGAGCCGGATCTCGCCGCCCTGCTGCAGGCGGAGGCCCTGCGCATCGGAAACCCGGACGACGAGGTCAACTGCTTCCTGGTTTAGGGTTGTAAGGTTGTAAGGGTTGTAGGGTTGTAGAGTTTAGGGTTTAGGGTTTTAGGGTTTAGGGTTTAATGTTAACCTCACATCTATAAATGGGGTGGCAACTGTAATATTCGCCGGGCCAGAGTGGCTCAGCCGAAGACTACTTTCCATTACGGGAGGTTTTCGGGCCGATGTGTGTAAACAAGTCTATATAGGGGGGTCCGGTGAAAATAATAATGGGGTGACAACAGTAATATTTGGCCGGCCAGGAATCAGAAATTTTACTTGCAGAGAAGACTTTTCGAGCTCCGAGAGCAAGCAGAACCCTTCGAGACCAAGCACAGCAGACCCTGACAGCTAACCCCCCCCCCAAGACCCCCAGAATCCGCATTATTGGCACCCACCCGTTTTTTTTCTACCCCCCCAAACCCCGGGGACCAAAACAAGTTTTGGGGGGGGGGGGGGGGTTATCAAAGCGACGTTAACATTAGGGTTTAAGGTTTAGGGTTTTAGGGTTTAGGGTTTAGGTTTTAGGATGAGGTTTAGGGTTCGGGCATTCTCGGGTTGTAGGGTTGCAGGCCTGAGGATCAGTTTCTACAGCTTTTGCGGCTTTGCTGACTCTAAGTCTTCAAACCTTGAGGGGATCCTGAACACTCAGCCCAAGTACGGGACCTGAATCAAGGGATTACGACTCGTACCCTAGAGGTTCGCCTTAACATACTCCTAATATGGCCGTTAAAAGGGTCCCCAAACGAGTACAACCTTAGGGGTCCAAGATAGAGTCCCTTGACTGAGAATTATAAGCTCTCCGAAGCCCTTTTTTCAACGAGGGCTCGTTCAAGTCCAAGCTCTCCCACAGGACCACAATCTCCCTAACCTCTAAACCCTAAACCCCAGAAACCCTAAACCCCAACCCCCTAAACCCTAAACCCTAAACCCTAAACCCTAAACCCTAAACCATAAACCCTAAACCCAGTCTTCGGCCTCCATGGCGCGGACTCCGGACCGCCATGGGGCCCCTTGGGCCTAATATAAGGGGCCTTGATACAAAATGAATAACAATATGGGTTTAGGGTTTAGGGTTTAGGGCTAGGGTTTAGGGTTTAGGGTTTAGGGTTTAGGGTTTAGGGTTTAGGGTTTCGGGTTTCGGGTTTCGGGTTTAGGGTTTAGGGTTTAGGGTTTAGGGTTTGGGGTGTAGGGTTTAGGGTTTAGGGTTTAGGGTTTATCATCTAAAATTTAGGGTTTAGGGTTGAAGGGCTTTGGGGGAGAGTATGGATAAGGGAAATTCTATGCGCATTGTTTGTCCGAAGAGCCAGGTTTCTTTTTTGGGGGGGTTGTTTTTTGGGTGTTAGCTTTTTGCAGGGCTTTTTGGGAGGGGAGTTGGAGATTGGGGGTCCGGTGGAACAGTAGCGGGGGCTTCGGGTTTTCGAGTGCGGGTGGAGGCCGCGGTGTGTCCTTGAGTGCTCAGCTGCTGCGGGGCGTGCCGGTCATGCAACTAAACCCTAAACTCTAAACCCTAAACCTACACCCCATAAACCCAAAACCCTAAACCCTGAACCCTAACCCTGAACCCTGAACCCTAAACCCGAAACCCTACATCAAGCTCTAAGTAGAAACGAGCGTATAGGGTGCCTTATTCAGATCACACCCCCCACAAACCACAACCAAAAAAAGAAGGGGCACAAGCCTTCACACCAAGCCTGTCTAGCGCGTGCAACGACAGGGGTAAGGGTTTCGGGAGCTTTTTGAGACGTGATCCTTCTAACATGTCCATGTCTGCCTTGAGGACCACATGAACCCCAAAAAATTGGGGGTGTCATATACCCTATACCCTAGAATTTCTAGGTATATGAACCACAAACCCTTTTTCGGTTCATCCTAAACCCTAAACCCTAAACCCTAAACCCTAAACCCTAAACCTGAAACCCTAAACCCTAAACCCTAAACCTGAAACCCTAAACCCTAAACCCTAAACCCTAAACCCTAAACCCTAAACCGTCCCCCAAGGCACCTGGAGGCTTCTCAAGACTTGAAGCAATATTCGGAGTGCTAAAGCTGCCCTGGGACTGAGTTAATCTCAACCTGGGACCCTCTTCACCTACAAATCTTTTGGGGTTATACCTACACTGCTTCAGGGTAGAAACTACTAAACTGTAGGTAAATAGAGTCCAGGAAGTTATCATAAGAATGAAGTCGCATGCTTTCTGCTATGAGTATTCGGTTCTCAAATCCTCGAAAAGCTTTATAAATGCAACCCAGGCTAGGATGCCAAGCCCTCCCCCCCCGCCCTGCCCGGCGTTGGCACTCCGCAGCCGGGCCGCTGTTGTGACGGTCGTCATCGCCCAGTAGAGCGAAGAGATGTACTGCGATGTGGTGCTGTCGGACCTGAAGGCATACCTCGGCACTCAAGCCCCGGCAATGAGGGAATGAGGGAATGAGGGCCCCACATATGTATACATATATATATATATATTACCATATTTTACATATATATATATATATATACATACCCTTTAAGGTACTAAGAACCGCAAACGTCTCAAACCCTCGCAGGACAACTCTTGCAAGCAACCCTAAGCTCTTCTCGAAGCCCCTCGAAAAGCCTTCCCAATCTGCATTGAAACCCTATAACGTAAGCCCTGAGCCCTGAGAGCTGAACCCTAAACCCCAAACCCCAAACCCTAAACCCTAACCTTGAACCCCCAACCCCAAACTCATCCTCAAGCGCTTCTGGAGGCCAAGCATCTCATTCAGGAACCCATGTCCTTGGCCATTCTGTACATCAGCTTGCAAGGGTTTAGGTTTAGGGTTTAGTGTTTAGGGCTTAGGGTTTAGGATGTCGGTTTAGGATTTAGGATGTAGCGTTTAGGGTTTAGGGTTTCGGGTGTCTCCTTAGTTTGCCACTTGCTGAAGCACGAAGGCATGTTCCACGCCATCCTCTTGCAGCCGGAGCTCCAGAAATGGGCATGAAGCATGCCAGCCAGTGACACAGCATGCAGCAGCTCACCTTTGTGTCTCACGGCGCAGCTTCGCTAACCCTTCTGAAGTCCCCAGAATCCCATGTCAAAGCTCTGTACGTCTTGTCGGTTAATTACCTAGGGTAATCCTCTCAAGTAGGGTCCCCTTTTGGGGGAAAAGCACTTATCATAAGGACCCTGAAGCCTAAGCCCACAGGCCCTAAACCCTGAACCCCTCACCCTGATTCTAAACCCTAAGCCCTTTTTGGCAGAGGACTCCCTTACGAAACCCGAAACCCTCCCGAATTTAGAGAGGACCCGTAGGGTGCAGCAACCCCAACTGGCAGAGAGAAACTTAGAGCAGTATCGAACCCGACCTCACTCAAGATGTCTGGAACCCCTAGACACCGACCCGAAACCCTAAAAGGGTTTAGGGTTTAGGGCCTTTACAGGATTTAGGGCTTAAGGGGTTAGGGCTGACGGGTTTTGGGCCACTCCACCCGGAGTACTCAGGTCATTCTGCATCAGGCTTGCTGTTCATGCGTGAACTGTTGCGCTACTCCAAACACCCAAGCCCTTACCGGTGGTCAAGAGGCAAGGATTCGGCAAGTTTCGAAAACACGCCGTCCACTACTCGAGTGCCTCAGTGCAGGCACACTGCCTGGCAATCTGTGGCTTTACTCGGCGCTGCCAGATTGGGGGGTACCTTATTCGGGCCCTTACTAGAACGGAATCCTACGACTTGGGGGGACTCTATTCGGGGTTCCCTCATTTTCGCAAAGCCCCATGTAGCGTTTAGGAGTTTCAGGAGCTCCAGGGTTTGCCTGGGGGCTTCGCAGCTTGAACGTGTAGATCTGACTTCGCGATCCTACCCAAGACTTGACACATGGCCACCCCCAGCCTTACCTGGGACCCTCTTTACCTGCGGCTTGATGGTTTATACCTTCAGATTAAGGGTAGTTACTACGAAACTGTAGGCAAACAGAGTTTCAGGTCGCTGAATAGTATGGAAGCCTGAGTCTCGAAGACTGTGTCTCCACACAGACTCGAAACTCTCCTTTTTCGGGTTTAGGGTTTGGGGTTCAGGCACTCGTCGTGTGGCGTTTGCAACAATCTTTCGGTTTCGTCGCAAGCCGAGATCGGAATCGCTGCGGTGATTCCTGTGCTTCGTTTCTGTGCGGTTGCCACTATAGCAACTACACCAGCAACTTCGGCATGCAATCCGACCCTCGTAGTTTTTGGGGTTTGGGATAATTAGTCCTTCTCCCGAAGTACGGCTCTTCTTCCGGGCTAGCCAACGAGGGGGGCTCGACGCAGGATGCCAGATGATGCCACTGGCACAGGGCCATGAAGTGCCGCCGAGCTGCGTCACGAAGTCTTCTAAACGGCTCCCCAACTCTGAGGCCCTGAAGATCTTGATGAGCTTGATCGCCCGGATGACTTTCCTGGTTGGGAATTATTTTAACGTCTAGGAATATATACATGGTCTCTGGATTTTCGTCCCTTACCTACTTGTAAGGGCTGAAATATTCGGGCCCTTTGCCCTCGGGCTTTATAGGGTATGTAAGGGGCACCTAAGGGATCCCAATTACGGGCCCGGGGGATTCGAAGGTCTGAGGGGCTTCTTTCTGTCTCTCCCGGCCATGGACTCTAAACCCTAAACCCTAAACCCTAAACCGGCGGTTTTTTTTTTTTTAAAGGTGTGGCTCGGACGTTTTTTTTTTAAAGGTGTGGCTCAGCTTGTCTTCGCAAATACTGTAAATAGCAGCATTTCTGCGTTTAGAGAGGCTGCAAATACTGTAAATAGCAGCATTTCTGCGTTGTCAGAGGCTTCAAATACTGTAAATAGCAGCATTTCTGCGTTGTCAGAGGCTGCAAATACTGTAAATAGCAGCATTTCTGCGTTGTCAGAAGCTTCCAAGACTGTAAATAGCAGCATTTCTGTGTTGTCAGCGGCTTCCACTACTGCAAAGAGCAGCATTTCAACGTAGTCAGAGGCTTCAAATACTGCAAATAGCAGAATTTCTGCGTTGCGTTGGCTGCAAATACTATACCTAGCAGTATTTCTGACATAAAATGTATGTCGCAGCATTTCTGGGTTTCTCAGACGTTGCAACGAAGGGCATGAAATAGCAGCATTTCTGTGTTTTCAGAGGCTTCAGAGAGGCTGCAAATACTGTAAATAGCAGCATTTCTGCGTTGTCAGAAGCTTCAAATACTGTAAATAGCAGCATTTCTGCGTTGTCAGAGGCTGCAAATACTGTAAATAGCAGCATTTCTGCGTTGTCAGAAGCTTCCAAGACTGTAAATAGCAGCATTTCTGTGTTGTCAGCGGCTTCCACTACTGCAAAGAGCAGCATTTCTACGTAGTCAGAGGCTTCAAATACTGTAAATAGCAAAATTTCGGCGTTGCGTTGGCTGCAAATACTATACGTAGCAGTATTTCTGACATAAAATGTATATAGCAGCATTTCTGGGTTTCTCAGACGCTGCAACGAAGGGCATTAAATAGCAGCATTTCTGTGTTTTCAAAGGCTGGATATAAATCATGTGCTCTTATATAAACAGATATATATATATATATATACAATTATTCATTTATTTATATTTAGTATTATGAAAACTGTATATGCTATTCAGTATTTCATATATATATAGTACACTATCTATCTATCGATCTATCTATCTATGTATATGCATAGGTATATGTATAAATGTATAAATGTATATATGTATATATGTATATATGTATATATGTATATATGTATATATGTCTATATGTCTATATGTCTATATGTCTATATGTATATATGTCTATATGTATATATGTATATATGTAATATATGTATTATGTATATATGTATATTATATGTATATTATATGTATATATGTATATTATGTATGTATGTATATATGTATATATTATAAATGTATCTATGTATATGTATATATGTAATATATATATGTATGTATGTATTTATAGCTGTATAGATACATATATAGATACGTATATATATATATATGTATATATATATAGATGTGTATATGTAGATATGTATAGATGTATAGATGTATAGATGTATAGATGTATAGATGTATAGATGTATGGATGTAGTTATGTATATATGTATATATGTATATATGTATATATGTATATATGTATATATGTATATCTGTATATATGTATATGCATATATGCATATATGTATATATGTATATATGTATATATGCATATATGCATATATGTATATATGTATATATGTATATATGTATATATGTATATATGTATATATGTATATATGTATATATGTATATATGTATATATGTATATATGTATTTCTGTATACATGTTTATATGTATATATGTTTATTCAATTATAGATATACATGCATATACATGATTGGCTTAAAAAGGCTGGGGGGGGTTCGGGGTGGGGGGGAACAGACCCCCCCTTTGCAAACACCTTGCTCGCATGATGGGTTTCAACAAGACTCATTATGCTGGGGTAAACTCAATGCTTGCATGTAGGTCTCAAGATTCATACGCTTTGAAGCAAGCTTGCACGGCTGAAAGAAAGCGGGGGGGTTGGGGGGGGGCGCAGCCCCCCCCATTTGCAAACTCAATGCTTGCATGATGGGTTTCAAGATTCATATGCTTTGAAGCAAGCTTGCACGGCTTTAAAAAGCGGGGCGGTTGGGGGGGGCGCAGCCCCCCCATTTGCAAACTCAATGCTTGCATGTAGGTTTCAAGATTCATATGCTTTGAAGCAAGCTTGCACGGCTTAAAAAAGCGGGGGGGTTGGGGGGGGCGCAGCCCCCCCATTTGCAAACTCAATGCTTGCATGTAGGTTTCAAAAAGACTCATATGCTTTGAAACAAACAAGCGGGGGGGTTGGGGGGGGCGCAGCCCCCCCCATTTGCAATTTGCAAACTCAATGCTTGCATGATGGGTTTCAAGATTCATACACTTTGAAGCAAGCTTGCACGGCTTAAAAAAGCGGGGGGGTTGGGGGGGGGCGCAGCCCCCCCCATTTGCAAACTCAATGCTTGCACGTAGGTTTTCAAGATTCATAAGCTTTGAAGCAAGCTTGCACGGCTTAAAAAAAAGCAGGGGGGGGTTGGGGGGGGCGCAGCCCCCCCCCATTTTGCAAACTCAATGCTTGCATGATGGGTTTCAAAAAGATTCATATGCTTTGAAACAAGCTTGCACGGCTTAAAAAAGCGGGGGGGTTGGGGGGGGGCGCAGCCCACCCCCATCTGCAAACTCAATGCTTGCATGTAGCTTTCAAGATTCATATGCTTTGAAACAAGCTTGCACGGCTTACAAAAACGGGGGGGTTGGGGGGGGCGCAGCCCCCCCCATTTGCAAACTCAATGCTTGCATGTAGGTTTCAAGATTCATATGCTTTGAAGCAAGCTTGCACCCTTAAAAAGCGGGGGGGTTGGGAGGGGCGCAGCCCCCCCATTTGCAAACTCAACGCTTGCATGATGGGTTTCAAGATTCATACGCTTTGAAGCAAGCTTGCACGGCCTAAAAAAAGGCGGGGGGGTTGGGGGGAGCGCAGCCCCCCCATTTGCAACTCAATGCTTGCATGATGGGTTTCAAAAAGACTCATATGCTTTGAAACAAGCTTGCCCAGAGGACTAGAGGACCACGGGACCAGAGGACCGGACCACAGAACCAGAGGACCACAGGACCAGAGCAGGGGGACCGCGGGACCAGGGGACCAGGGGACCACGGGACCGGGAGACCAGGGACAGGACCAGAGAGGACCAGAGGACCAGAGGACCAGAGGACCAGAGGACCAGAGGACCACAGGACCAGAGGACCAGAGGACCAGAGGACTACGGGGCCAGGGAACCGGGGGGGGGGGGGGGGGGGGGGGGGGGGGGGGTTGGAGCCACACCTTTAAAAAAAAGAGGGTGGAGCCACACCTTTTAAAACAAAAAACCCCTGGCCCCCCTAAACCCTAAACCCTAAACCCTAAACCCTAAACCCTAAACCCTAAACCCTAAACCCTAAACCCTAAACCCTAAACCCTAAACCCTAAACCCTAAACCCTAAACCCTAAACCCTAAACCCTAAACCCTCAAACCTAAACCCTAAACCCTAAACCCTAAACCCTAAACCCTAAACCCTAAACCCTAAACCCTAAACCCTAAACCCTAAACCCTAAACCCTAAACCCTAAACCCTAAACCCTAAACCCTAAACCCTAAACCCTAAACCCTAAACCCTACCTATCCCCAACCCACCAGAATAGTTAGAGACCCACCAAAAGGACCCTCGAAGTACTCCCTATGGAGCCTCCACCGGAAGCCCGGCGGCGTGACCAAAAACAAAAGCCCTGTCTTCCTACAGGGGCGATTATACCCTATAACCCCTTTAAAAAGGCCCTTTAAAGGGCTGGTTAGGGGGATTGTAAGGCCTAACAGACCATGCTGGTTCGTCCCAGCAGCAAAATCTTGAAGATCTTGCTGCCGCGCAACCTTGGGTTCACGGTTTACTTTTTGTTGGTAGGGTTTAGGGCTTAGGGTTTAGGGTTTAGGATTTTGGGTTTAGAGTTTAGGGTTTAGAGTTCAGGGTTTGGGGTTTAGGGTTTGGGGTTTAGGTGCAATCTTTGGGCCCCCGATGTCGGGATCCAGGGCACTTGGGGCTTACAGTAGGGTTGGGTATCCTAAACCCTAACGCCTACACCCCTGAGCCTAAACCCTAAACCCTAAACCCTAAGCCCTAAACCCTAAACCCTGAGTCCTAAACCCTAAACCCTTCCAGTTTCAAGCCCTCCACCATCTGCCCCGAAGCTTGGTCAGCTCCTCCCGTTTTATGCCGGCAAGCTCCCTCTGCTGTCATCTGTCAACCCAAAGACCTAAACCCTAAGTCCTTCTCCCAAACCAAACTCCCAAGATCTAAATCACAAACCTGAAACCTAAAGTCCCCCTACACCCTAAACCCTAAACCCTAAATCCTACCAAACAAAAAACAAGTCTGTCGAAGTGTTGCGAGACGCAGCTTCACGCTCTCCACCTGCCCGGGCACGCCGTCGACAAGATGCTCCAAAGGCAACTGAGCAGGGCCAAGCTGAGGGTTTAGGGTTTAGGGTTAAGGACCCGTTTAAGGTTAGGGTTTAGGGTTTAAGGTTTCGGGTTTAGGGACCAACAGTTTCATGGGTTATACCTACAGTTTCATGGGTTATACCTACTGAGTAAGGGTAGTCCGTACAAAACTGTAGGTAAATAGAGCGCCAGGTAGGACGTTGTCATTTTTTCCCTCCTGCTTTCGGGGGCTTAGGGTTTAGTTTTTGTTTTGCCACCCGCACTGCCCTTTAGGGGTTTTAGGGCTTAGGAGTTTAGGAGTTTGGGAGTTTGGGAGTTTAGGAGTTTAGGAGTTTAGGAGCTTACGAGTTTAGAGGTTGCGATTTAGGATATTTAGGGGCTTGGGGTTTCATCGCTCACTTTCGCACACGGCAGGCCAGGTTTCAGAATCCACTAAGACAAGTATAGAATATATCAGACGGCTCAAGGCGGCTTGGGGTCGTGAGGTTTGAGGGGATTAAGGGTTTACGGGTTTATGGGTTAGGGGGTAGGGGTTCGGGGGTTAGGGCTGTTGAGAGCCTAGGGTTCTGGTGTGGAGGAGTTAGGGCCCAGCGCTATCTTGACCCAGGCAAAACATACATACATACACACATACACACATACACACATACATACAGACATACATACATACAGACACGCAGACATACAGACATACATACATACGTGTGCACGCACATACAGACATGCCGCACGTTCAGCCCGAAACCCCAATATCTACATCTCTATGTGTTTATGTACATGTATACACACAGCCCACCCCAGTGAACATGTACATACCATAAACCAGAAAGCGAACCCGCAAAAAAATCTAATCGACCCTCCACAAATCCCAGGTTAACCTGGGCGAGGCCAAGCGGCCGCGGTCACAAAGTCAAGAGTAAACCTGGGGCTCTGAATCAGTCAAGCGCTCAGGGGTTTAGTGGCTCCCTGAGTTGAGGTGATTGGTTTAGGATTTGGGGTTAGGGTTTAGGGTTTCGGTTTTAGGGTTTAGGGGTTTAAGGGGGGGCTTCGGGACCCCTGTAAGACCTAAACACCTTTTTGAACCTGGGCTCTGAAGTACTGCCAGGAAGCTGAACCAATAAACCCCTAAACCCCTACGCCCTGGTTGTTTTCTAAACCCTAAACCCTAAACCACTAGGCTCTCAACCCTAATTCAGGGTTCAGAGCTCTTTTGACGTGCTTTGTGACTGGGAGCTGCTGGGTTTGGGGCTAGGCGTGGTGAGCCCTTGACTCAAACTGAACTTTCACCACCTAGGGTTGTAACACTTGTTGGTTTTTACAGCAGAATTCCAAAAGAACCACAAATCTTGAGGAACCAGGGAAAACAAGTGCATACTTTTTTGGGCTACCTGCCTAGTATAGGGAACCCAGAACCCAAAAAAGTAAAAACGGTATAAACCCTACACCCGAAACCCTAAAAACTAAAAACCCTAACCCCAAACCCCAAACCCTAAGCCCTAGCCCAAGTAACCAGGAGGTGAGGTAGTTCTTGGCGATGAGCCGGTTGCTGCGTACTTCCTCGCCAGCCTGTTGTGCTCTTGGTTTTTTTTTTGCTCTTGGGTTTAGGGCTTTGGGGGAGGGGGGGGGAGGTAAGGGTTAGGGTTTAGGGTTTAGGGTTTAGGGTTTAGGGTTTAGGGTTTAGGGTTTAGGGTTTAGGGTTTAGGGTTTAGGGTTTAGGGTTTAGGGTTTAGGAGGGGGGGGGTTTAGGGTTTAGGGCTTAGGCTGCTGATGGATAAGCATCCAACCAACAATAAGGCAAGGGCGTATGTCTTCCTACTAGGTTTAGGGCTTAGGATTAAACTAGGAGGGCCCCGCCCCCCCCCCCCCCCCCCCCCCGACCTCGTTGATGAAGGTGGTGCGGAAGTTCAAGAAGATGTCGAAGATGAAGCAGAAATCGATGCCGACCTTTCACGCACATGTGTTCTTGACAGGGGCGGGCGCCGGGAAGCAAAGTTGTAGGACTTGCAAAGCGGCCCAAAGCGCCAGGAAACAATGGAACTTGCGCAGACATCGGGTCTCAGCCTGTACCTTTAAGGTTTAGGGTTTAGGGTTTAGGGTTTAGGATTTAGGATTTAGGGTTTAGGGTTTAGGGTTTAGACGACGCTGTCTCTGAGTCTGAGCAACTGAGCGCGACTGCACTGTGAACCAGCACATCATCTGTCTAGGGTTTAGGGCAACTGGTTTGGGGCTTGTGGATAGGATTTCCTTAGTTGTCCAGTACCTAGGGGAACTAAAGGTTAACTTTTGGGATTATAAGGAGGTTAGATTACCCCCAAAAAGGTTCAAGGCTACCTGCTCTACTACTAAGTTTCAGGGATGTGCAAGGGTCCAAGGGGTAGTATATTACCCCAAAAAGGTTCAAGGTTACCTGCTCTACTACGAAGTTTCGGGGATGTGCAGGGGTCCAAGGGGTAGGAGGAGTCTCGCAATAAGCCGACTTTAGGGTTTTTTTAACGTTAAAAAACCCCAAGGGTGTTTTCAACGTTTAGGGTTTTTTAACGTTAAAAAACCCCAAGGGGTAGGAGGAGTCTCGCAATAAGCCGACGGACGTTGAGATAGCCATGCGCGCCATCCTCTTCCAGGTAGGCAAGGGTGAAGGGAAGCACCACCTGGGCAGCACGGGGGTTGCTCGTAGCCCTAAACCCTAAACCCTAAACCCTAAACCCTAAACCCCCTAAACCCTTTCAAGACTGAGACTCTGGGCCTCTCTCTCACTCTCGCCCTCTCCTCGCCCCTGCAGGCGGAATCTGCCAGTTTTTTTGGCCAAATATAAACCCTAAACCCTAAACCCTAAACCCTAAACCCTAAACCCGAAACCCTATTTTTTTACAGAGACGGGATAAGACTCGGTATTGCCCTTAGCGTAGTGAAGACTGATCGGTCACCTGGTTTCCATCCCCACAACACTTCCTCCGAAAATCTAGTGCTGGTTCAGTAGTCTGGCCGCCGCGATGTAGCAGAGAAGCACCAGAAGCAGCACGTCCCATGCTAACCTTGGTGTGGTTGTGTCTGGCAAGGTGCCCCAAAAATCCGAGAAACCTTGTAGCGAAGGTTTCCGAAAGCCAAGCTCAGCTGTAGGTGCCTACCACGAATTGTGCGAACAACTCTTTGGGAGAGAGTCAGCTGCCAGGTAAACACTGGTCCTGAACCTCAGAAGAAACAGTTTAAGCCCCAAAATCTAGACGTTCGTCTGCAATCGCCTAAGTACCGCAGCAGCTATGCGCAAAAACACAAGGTAGTCTCAATCTCTTAGCGGCTTCGTGTTGATGCTTCGGACTCTGCCACACAAACGCATCCAAGCCACGGGCCGATCGATACTGAACATTTCGTTACCCAAGCCCTAAAGCAAGGACCGCAGAGTGTGTAGCCCACATTTTCTTGGATTTCGCAAACCAAAGAACTACAATCCCCTGTTTAAGCCCTATGTCCGATCAAGCTTGCAGTCCTCCAAACCCCCAACTGTCGAGGCCGAAACCCTAAACCATAAACCCTAAACCCTACAAGGGCCAGGCAGCCGTAGGGAGGAGTGGCAGGAGAGGAACCAACGCCAGGGCTTACACCGGATCTCGTCCTGATCAGCGGGCTTCGTGGGCCTTGTAAGGGTCGCCTTGAACAGGTTTAGGGTGTAGGGTTTAGGGTTTAGGGTGAAGGTCTTGGAGTGAAGGGCGTGTTTAGGGTCAATGGCTTTTTCTGGCTGTCGCCTGAGGAGACATGACTTGGCTCACCTGCTGACTTCGAATCTCGGAGCTTGGCTTTCCCCTCGCGAAGCTTCGTTTTTTAACAGACACTTCACATGGTGAGCTGGACCCCAAACCCCGTTTTTGCAGCCGAACCGAAGGCGTCGCCGGACCCGAAACGCTCTACCACCAGAACCACCAGAACCCGAAACCGCCATGAGACATCTCGAAGGGGGTGTGGGAGCTCAGCGGCGCTTCGACAAGGCTGAATCATCAACACCTCTCCTGGGAATTTGAGTCAAAGTGCCTTGGGACCTGAGCGCCCTGGGCCCTCAAGTTTGAAACCTTAAAGGTGTATACATTGGTTCACTCCCCCTTATACTAACAGTCCTTCAGAGGGATGATAGCATTGAAATCCCGATTAAGGACGGTTGGTATAAGGGAGAACATCCCAACCTGAAACCTTCAAGGTGTATAGAAGGCCAAACCTCAAACCCTGAACCCTAAACCCTAAACCCTCAACCCTAAAGCCTAAACCCTAAACCCTAAACCCTAAACCCTAAACCCTAAACCCTAAACCCTATGGGCCATGCCACCCAATTCCAGGTCAAAGAGTGCTGCATCTTGGTGCCATACCTTTGCATACTCGGTCTCTGAGCACTATGACTTGCTAGGGGTGGGCTTAGGGTTTAAGGGTTTAGGGTTTAGGGCTGAGGGTTTAGGGATTTAGGGTTTAGGGTTACTTAGATCTCCGTGTGCATCGATGGGCGCTTGCGCAAGAGGAGAGCCTCTAAACTCTTGATGCGAAGTACTCCCCACCGTGAGCCTCTAAACTACAGAACTACCCTACAACCTAAAAGCCCATTAAAAAAAGACTTAACCCCAGAAAGCCCTCAACCCTGAACCCTATACAGCCCTACAAGACCCTGTAATCCCTACACCCAGCTCACATGGGAGTTTCCGAAAATAGGGGACCCCTAAAATACCCCCCCCCCCCCCAAATAGTAGGATGTCCTTGTCATATCTTGTAATAAGGACCCACATAAGGTACCCCTAATTTCGGAAACCCCAAACCCCAAACCCTAAACCCCTGTTTTTGAGGAGGGACTGCAAACCCTAAACCCTAAACCCCTAATTTCGGAACCCCCCATAATGAATTCCCCGTTGAGGTGAGCTTGGGGGTGAGAATGCTGCAGCGGTGACCAAACATGTCCCGAGGCTCTGCTGTTCAGGAGTCGAGGTTGTGGATTTACGGGTCAAGGATGTAGGTTTTTAGGGGTTGGGACTTCAGGGTTTAAGACGTGGTCAGTTCTCAACATTATTGTCCCTTTTGGGTTACCCTAAAGAAGAGGCGTCGCCTTATAATCTGGACCCCTAAACCCTCAACCCTCAACCCTAAGACCTAAACTCTAAGCCCTAAACCCTAGAAAAGGGACCACATTTTATGGAAGTGACATTATAAGGGAACAAGGCTTAAGGATTTTAGAGTACCTTCTGGAGGCAGACTCGCGGGAGAAGATTTCGGGTTGAAACCCCTAAACCCCTAAACGGGTTTAGGGTTAAGGGGTCAGGGTTTAGGGTTTAGAAGGGTAAGACCCTAAAGCCCTCCAACCGTTTTTTGGAATCCAGGCCTGCTCGAACACCGTGTACTTAATTACCCTAAAGCCTAAAGGTGTAATATCCCTCCACCCTAAACCCTAAACCCTATTCGTAATTATTCCGACCCCTATAGTAAATGCAGCAGGAGCTGCTTGCCGTACTCATTCTCCATCAAGGCGCTGGTGAAGACCTGGCAAGGAGGGGTTTAGGGTTTAGGGTTTAGGGTTTCGGACGAAAGCTCCGGTTTGGGGTTTGTAGACAGTGTAGGGTTTGGGCCGAGAAAACACTTTGACCGAAAGGTTTCTTGTCTAAGCTTGCTTGGCCTGCCCTTGAAACCTTAGAAACATTTTCAAAATCACGGGGGGGGGGGGGGGGTTTAGGGTTTAGGGCTCAGGGTCCCTAAGCCCTATAACTCCTAAACCCTTTTCTGCGGCCCTTAGCTCTCTTAGCTCGGGCATGCGCAGTGTCTTGAGGGAATGGCCTGATAACCCCAGAGGCCTGAACCACTCCAAAATTCAAAACCAAAGACTTAAAGACTTAACCCTGCAACCCCTAAACCCTAAACCCCAAACCCCAAACCCTAAACCCCAAACCCAAACCCTAAACCCCCAGAGCGCTGCAAACCGAACCGGAAACCGCCCAACACTCTCGCGGGCGCCGCCTTGAGAGTGCCGGAGCCTTTGCCGGCCACGAGACCTTCTTGAAGACTCCATGGGGTTTGTCGGGGTTTCAGGGTTCAGGGTTTTAGGGTTTAGGGTTTAGGGTGGTTTAGGGTAGAGGGTTCAGGGTTTAGGGTTTAAGGTTAACTTTCAGCGTGCAGGGCCTAAGGGTGTTGGAGTGCTTTTTAGGGGCGACATCGGGTTCCCAAGGGGGTGCGAAGTCGGAGAATGAAAGGGCAAAACCTAACCCTGAATTCTTGCAGGAGATCACCAAACCTTGCACCCTTCCGAGGCTTCGCCCTTGAATTCTACGAGGGCTTAGGGGCCTTGGGACCCAGAACAGGGCTCATCGCTCAGATTAGATCGAACCCCCATGTAGGACGTACAAGTTACCCTTAACCCTAAACCCTAAACCCTAGACCCTAGACCCTAGACTCGAATCCCTAAAGCTGCCCCTGACTTCCACCCACTAGCCCTCCCGGCCCGCTTTTGCCAGCCCAGGGGCGGTTTACCACGTTGTTCCACTCATCGATCTCCACTTTGCCTGGGCTTTGACCACAGTTACGGCCTCTTCACAAGAAACGCCCTAAACCCTAAACCCTAAACCCTAAACCCTAAACCCTAAACCCTAAACCCTAAACCCTAAACCCTAAACCCTAAACCCTAAACCCTAAACCCGGCAGTTTAGCCGCGCCCTGAATCGTGCGTTCTCGCCTCGTGTTTCGGAGTGCCTCGGCGACCATATCAACCCTAAAACTGGGATCGTACACGCTTGGAAGCAATGTAGGGTCTTAGGGACTAGGTATATATGGACGATATACTGGGGGGGGGGGGGAGGGACGCAAAACCCTGAACCCGAAACCTTGAACCCTCAACTTGAGTACTGTGTGGCAGCTTAGAAACCCAAAAACCCAACCCTTGGCTCCCCAACCCCTAACCACACCACAGGGGGGATCACATCACAAGAAGTACAAATGGGTGGGGGCGGGGGGGGGGGGGGACCGGGCGCGCCCGGATCACAGAATGGGGCTTCTGTAGGGGAACAAGATCAAGGCTGCCAATTTCTACATCAAATCTGCAGCTCATTGCAATCCAGTCACTTCTTTCCTAGAAGCCTCACCTTTCAACCCTGATCCCGGAAAAAAACCTAATACTCTAAGCCTTAACACACGCAGCTGTGCAAACTCTACGCACGCCCCCCCCCCCCCCCCCCCCCCCCTTCAACCTTGAAACGTCCCTATGGCCCAGGCCATTTTTGCATCCAGGCCGCTAGGTTGCAGCAAGGCATGACCCTTCGCCTAATCCCCTAACCCCCCCCCCCCCCCCCCCCCCCCTAAACCCTAAACCCCAAACCCCAAACCCTAAACCCTAAACCCTAAACCCTAAACCCTAAACCCTATGCCCAACTGACCCTAAACTTGAGCAACCCCTAAACCCTAAAACCGGGTGGCCGTTGCAGTTCTCGTCGGCCGCCGCGATGAGCTTTTCAGCCCGTGCTGGGTGCTGTCCGACGGAACCTTGGGGCTTGGATGGATCGTAGGGTTTAGGGTTTAGGGTTTAGGGCTTAGGGCTTAGGGTTTAGGGTTTAGGGTTTAGGGTTTAGGGTTGAGGGTCTTCTTTCTAGGGGTGTGGGGCTTTAGGCTTTGTAGGGTTCTTTGCCCCTCGGATTGAGATAGGCAAGGGCAACTGGCATCTCGGGCTTTAAGCTTTCAGGCTTAGAGCTCACGAAGGCTTCGCGAAACCCTAAACCCTAAACCCTAAACCCTAAACCCTAAACCCGAGCGGCTCGAAGGGAGCTTGTCGCCCCGCACTAGGAACCTGGACCCCCAAAGTATGCCAAAGAAGCCCCAACCCCACAAAAGTGCCCTAATTTTTGCATATGTTGGGGGCTTAGGTAAACCCTAAACCCCTATACCCCTATAACCCTATAACCCTAAACCCTAAACCCTAAACCCTAAACCCTAAACCCTAAACCCTAAACCCTAAACCCTAAACCCTAAACCCTAAACCCTAAACCAGACCCGAAAGGCTCAGCTGTTGGGGTGCAGGCTGAGGGGCGCAGGGCGCGCTGGAGCTCCTCAGTGTCGATGACGCCGGAGCCATCCGCGTCAAGCCTGGGCGCAAAGCTTCCTGAACTTTGGGTCTAGGGTTTAGGGTCTATAGGGTTTAGGGTTTAGGGTTTAGGGTTTAGGGTTTAGGGTGTAGGGTTTGGGGTTTAGGGTTTAGGGTTTGGTGGTTTGGTGGTTTGGGCGTTTGGTGGTTTAGGGGTTTTGGGGCTCGACCTGGTTTACGATGACCTCGATGGGCGTTTGCGGGTGAAGGTTTCTTGCGGCTTCGGCTGTGCTAGCCCTAAACCCTCAACCTTCAGCCCTCAACCCTAAACCCTAAACCCTACACCGTTCTTGCTACCTGCCGAGCTGACACCCACGGCTCATTGCAGGCACACGCCGGAGTTGTGGCATCCATGCGCCGTTATGAGGGGTGTAGGGTTTAAGTTTTCAGGGTTTGGGATGTTCCCCCTTATACTAACAGTCCTTAGTAGGGACTGTAGTAGGGGTACTATAATCCCTATTAAGGACTGTTAGTATAAGGGGGACCATCCCAAGTACTAGAACAGGACAGCTTTCACAGCTGGTTTAGGGCCTTAGGGCTTAGGCAGGGTCCTGTCCCCCTAGCCCAAACAAAACCCCAAACTTCACGAGAACCAGCCGTGAATGAAACCCTCAACAAGTAAACCTTCAGAAAATGACAATAAATCAATAAGACATCTGACGAAACTCCACCAAGTCCCGACTTCGCCCCCAAAGCCTAAACCCCTTTTCCACCCGGAATCTCATCCTTAACCCTAACCCTAAACCCTAAACCCTAAACTCCCAGCCCCCGAGCACCCGACCGCTTGAAGAGGCCCATGAGGACTTCCCTCTGATTTTGCATGGCTTGCTTAAGCCCGGCAGCACCCTGGACAGGGTGCTTCGGGTCTTTGGGTTGCTCGGGCTTGGGATTCGCATGTTCGGCTCTCATGGGATTTATAGGGCTTAGGGTTTACATGCAGGCTCGACAGGGTTTAGGGCTTCGGGTGTAGGGTTAAGTTTTAGGGTTTAGGGTTTAGGGTTTCGGGTTTCGGGATTCGGGTTTCGGGTGGCCTCGACTTCCACCAACATAAGAACACTCTAATTCCAGGATCCCCCCCCCCCCATCAAGGAAGAACGCTATGGTGTGCGAGTTGCGAAGGATTCATCTGTCAGGAAGTGGGGGCTCAGTCTTCCTAAACCCTAAACCCTAAACCCTAAACCCTAAACCCTAAACCCTAAACCCTAAACCCTAAACCCTAAACCCTAAACCCCCCCTCAAGTTTCGGGGGCTTAGGGCGGCCCAGTTCCTGAGAGGGCTTATCAGGTTTAGGACTCGTACGCCCCCGAAAGATCGGGCTTCCGAAGCTGCATATCACAGCCCAGTCTGGTCTTACAGCACCAGCCAGGGTCTTCTTGCTAACCCCTAAACCCTAAACCCTAAACCCTAAACCCTAAACCCTAAACCCTAAACCCTAAACCCTAAACCCATCGTCGCCGTGCCCGGGCCTCCTCGAAGTTGTCGTCCTCGTCCGCCGAGTTGAGCGAGTAGCGCGAGTTGGTGTAATTGCTGTCTTCCCCACGCTCCTTGACTAGGGGGTTTAGGGTTTAGGGTTTAGAATTTAGGGTTTAGGGTTTAGAGTAATCCCTCCCCCTAGTATCCCTAAACCCCCCCCCCCTACCCCCTAAGATTTAATGCTCCCAGTATTTTAGGGGGTGGGGTGTGTGGGTTAATATTAGGGGGACGGGAGCAGTGGTTTGAGGCTTAGGGTTGGGAACCTTGCCTCTTTGGCTTCGAGTTCATGGAGCTTTTGGCCTCCAAGTACATACCCTGAACAGGAACTACCCTTCCCTGGGACGGTCTTTACCTACAGCTTTATGGGTTGTACCTACGAATTATGGGTGGTTACTTCTAAACTGTAGGTAAATAGAGACCCAGGTAAACCCTGTAAACCCAAAAACCCTAACCCAAAAATCGTTGTAAGGCACGACCAAGCTCTCGTGTTGAGCCCTTAATGCTGAAGCCAACCGGGTTCTTCACCTCAGACATCCCTGAAGTTGTACAAGGGCAGGGATTTAGGGTTTAGGAATAGGGTTTAGGGTTTAGGGTTTATATGGGTTAGGGTTTAGGGATAGGTTTTTGGGTGTTCGGCGGAAATCAGAATGGAGGATTTGGCGTTCGGGCCTTAACTGTCTCACCATGTACGGAACAAGTGCAGATCCCAAACCCATGCGGCAGGAGCGGCGATTTCGGACTCCCCTTCTTCGCTCACCTCGCCCATGCAAGGCATGCCGTGTGGTGCGTTCACAACCCGCATAGCTGACTGCAAGACGCCCCGCCAGAACACGGTGCGTTTTGGTTTTTTGAGTTAACTAAACTGGCCCCAAACCACCGTTTAGCTGTACATACCAAGTAGGGTTAGGAGAGCAGATTCGGATGACTGATTGTATTTTGGCTCAAGGAAAATAGGCGTGCCCGTTGTGCGTCTTTCCTTGTCTTAAGTACCTTTGTTGTACTTAACTGGTTAACAGCCTCAAGCTACGTGGTCACTTTGGTAGGAACGTAGGCAAAGCCGCGCGCCGCCATAGTGCCCCCTCCATAACCGCACACCTGCCTTGAGAGTGTGCTTGAAATTGCGCGACAGGAGCCGCTGGCCCTGCCTCATTCATACTTCACATCCAGCATTGTGTCGAGCCAGAGCCAGGCTCAGCAATTGCATTCACTTCACCTGCAAGCCACCGTTGGGCTTTCCACGTGGCATTCCATATCTCGAAATCTTCGATCGTGCATGCAAAGCACTGAGCCGGAAGAGCATTACGCAACACACCTCCACATTTGGGTTCATTTCATTAAGGCCTTGCGTGAGAAACGCATCACGCGTTTGTTGATTGCTCATCCGCTAAATTGGTGGAGAAGGTTCGTGAGTAATCTTCTTGCTAATCACTACAGAGAGGTATCGTTTGACTGGCAGCTTAGGGTCCTTGTCCGTGCTTTAACGTACGCCGACGATAGGTGGGTCCCTAGATTGCCTCAATACTTTCCGTGACATCCAGGTACATCGTGTGGCTGCGCATCTCCGCTGCGGTGTCGAGGTGCTCGCCCCTCTTGCCCTGGTTGGTTCTGACTTTCGGACTTCACTTCAAACATTCCTGAACATCTTGCCTTTGTACCCTCTCCTGTGAACCCGTGCACGGTTTAGGGAGGCTAGGCCTTGTGGGTACCCTAGGCGTCTGACGAAGCATCACTGCATCACCGTGTGCTTCGCCTCGAACTGCCCAAACAGCAGGTTCAGTTCAGACTTCGATCTTCGCGTGGTTTGTGGTCTCCCTTCGGGTTGAGACTAAGCCCATCACTCCGCCAACAGCAAACCCACAGTGCCGTCGGCTTGACCACGCACTGTGAACGCAACATCGGACAAAGTCCCAATCCCTAAGAGGTTTCAGGGTCAAAGCAAAGAGAGTCGCGGGTCTTCCCCACTCTCATCCGTGTGCATTGGCTCAGACAGCCGGTTGAGTGCGTGTCGTTAGTTGAAAGACCTGCATTGCCCCAATATCCCATCTGAGGAATCCCGGCAAGGTAGTCAAGCTCAGGCACTCTGCACACATTCTTCTGGCCACTTTCTAGGCTTGTTGGGGTCGCCGCCCGAATTAGGCTTAGAGGGGTCGCCGCCCGAATCAGGCTGTGCAATTGTCTCTGGTACCATGGGTTGGAACGATTTTTTGCAGGCGTGGGAACGCGTGACCTCTGAAGAGTCCTTTGTGGAGCGTGTGACTGCTGCTTTTTCCAGGGCCACGAACTCGCCTGCGGTCAAAGGCTCGTCTGAGTTCCGTCGGAGGAAAGCTGTCCTCTTGGTGGTCATCCGTGCGCTGGTGCAGCTTCTCATCGGTACTCAGCAACAGTCTGGGGCCATACGGCTGGTCCGAACTCGAGAAAGAGAGCTCGAGGGCACGGAGGCATTGCCATATCATCCTTACGCTACGTTCGTCGAGGATACCCTGGAAGAGGTCAGAGGAGTGCTTCAGGCACCTTCGCCGGAGCCTGAGATACCGGCTCCGAGGACTCCTCCTGTCGCAGTGCGTTCCAGATCTCCGCCTCGTTCCTTGGTTGAGGGTTCTGACCAAACTCCGGTACCTCCTAGACCGCGACCGAAACATAAGGGTGATCGAACCCCTGCACCTCCTAGGGCACGACCTAAACATAAGGGTAATAGAACCCCGGTTCCTCCCAAGGCAAGTACCTTGCCCGGAACACCAGGTCCGTCACGTGCACCGGAGGCTGCAGCAGATCTTCTTGTGTATCGTCCCAAAGCAAAGGCCCGGCCCGAGTCCAGACCACCGCAGGACTGGGAGTTGGACGAAAGAGAGTATCCAACCATAGCGGATTCGTTCAGGGAACAGGTTGAATTGGGACAACACTCAGATAGAGAAGCCATAAACCGGTGGACTACTGAAGAGTGGAGAGAGCATAATCAGGCGCTCTCATCTTCTTCTTCTGCCGCGCCGCGTGTTGCACCTTTGGAAGTGGTCGAAGTGCGTGAGGACATCCCTGTCCTGATTTCATTGGATTTCAGCGGGGTGCTCAACATCCACTTTCAGGACAGCCGAGATTTTTTGGACCGTTTGAACGCAGAGCGTCCGAGCCACGTGAAGCTGAAGTTTATTTGCACGAGTTACTCTGGGACAGAACGGGCCAAAGAAACGCGTCAGTCGATGGCTTCGGAGCTTCCGGGCGTGCCAGTCTACATCACTAGCTCTCCAACGGGCCGTCCTGGAAAAGGAGCCTTCATTAAGCGTTTGATGGACCGGCGGTCGGATCACTTTGCGTGTCATTTGGATGACAGATCAGACATCGTGCGGGACGTCGAGGCGTATGGTGTTCACGGTATTTTGGTATCGCCGAATACGTGGCTGACTGATCTCGTGCCCACTGTGTTGTTGTGGCTGCGGTCCCTGTAAAACGCTAAAAGAGAGCTGCTGACCTTCAGGGGAACCTGGGGTTTCTATTGCCTGGCACCATGGCGATGAGTCCCGAAACTACTGATTCCTCGCTCCAGGTGTCCACTTCCAGCACGCCGCCTACACAACAGGCGCGGGCACTCAGTGCTGTAAGGGCACAAGAAGCAAGGGTAGGAGAGAGCAGTAGTGATTCCACTCCCGTAAGAGCCGTTTCAACCGGAAGGGGAAGGTCCTCTCAACCCTATGCCTTAGCTAGTTCCCGAAATCGCTCTTCCTCCGCTAGGATGCAAGCTTTGTTGCCTCCGCCAGCTTATGCATGTGAAGTTGCAAGTCCTGCACCAGCAAGTCAACCTGTTTCGCTTGCACCGGGCGATGGGACAACCACCCCGGATGTGCACTTGCATCAGCATGTTCAGCGCATTGCCCCAGAGTTGCACCTGCATCAGAGTCGTCAGGAATTGCATCTTCATGGGGTTGATTCCCGAACACATTCTCAGGCCGTTGCTGCTGCACAGCTGGCACAAGCGCAAGCACAAAACATTCAACAGGACGCTCAGGTGTTTGCCCAGAACGTTCAGCATGAAGCTCAGGCATACGTGCAGGTTGCAAAGAGTGAGGCTCAGGCATATGTTCAGAGCGCTGTCACTTCTGCTCAACATGAAGCCATGCAGCACGCACAAGAGTATGCAGAGCGCGTTAGGGCTGAAGCTGAGAGACAGGTCCAGAGTGTTTCAGAACAAGCCGGTCAGCATCTTGCACAAGCAAACGAAACCATTGCCTCACTTCAGGCTAGGAATCGTGAGCTTGAGGAGCAGCAGGAAGAAATGATGCAGCGGATTGCGATGATCCAAGCTGAGATGCAAAGCATCAAAGCTCAACAACAGTCCCAAGCCGACACGTCCCACCTTCACGCAGAGCGAGTGTCGCAGGCCTCAAGGGCTCAGGACCAAAATGGCACGGAGATCAGTGAAGCCCTCAAGGCCTTGGCTGCAAGTGTTGGTGAGACAATGAAGGAGTTGCGAGAAATCGTCAGTCCCAAAGCATCCAAGCCTAAAAGCAAAGCGAAAGGTTCGGGGCTCCGAAACGGGACACCCTCCCCTAAGCATAAGAGTCCAAAGGTCTCAGCGACTCAAGGTCAAAGATCTGCTGGTGTGGCTGCTGCGCCTGTTCCAAATCGGTTTGGATGCTTCTGCGCACCCAGGTTGCCAGTTTTCACCGGTGTTGGTTTGCCGGCTCCGTCTAGATCCAAGAAGGGTTCTTCGAGTGACAATCCCTTCAACGTCTTCTCCACTCCCAAACCTCCTTCAGTCGTGCATCCCCCAGACCCTCCGATGCACTACGACATCGGGTCCGAACACGAGGAAGGTGAGGAGGAAGAGGAGAGGGAAGATGACCCCATCATTGATGTCACCGATGCACCGGGGGAAGAAGAAGTAGACTATGAGCAGGATACTTACCACAACAAAGATCTTCGAGACCTGAAAATCCCTGCACTTCCTTCGACAGCCGCGGGATATCGAGCATGGAGGAACGGCGTTTTGACATCGTTCAGCAGCATAGACAAGAGTGGGAACGCCAGGATACTGAGATGGCTCCAGGTCGCCCTTGATCCAGCCATAGGAGACCGACAGATGCGCAATCTGCAGGTCACGTCTGACGGCCTTCCCCGCCTTGATGCATTCCTGGCTGCACAGCTTACAGATCCAAAACACCTCAAGGGAGACTACGGAGTCGCTGCCCAGGCGTTCACCGAGCGAGCACACGCGTTAGGCGTGCAGCCTTCCGGGCGTGCGCTGTTGGCAATGCTCAGCCGAAGGTTTCGGGTAGACCGGATCAGGGGGGCGACAGTCTCCCAGCAGACACTCTTAGCCATCCAGCTCGAAGGCTTCAGCCAACAACAACTGCAAGCCTTTAGAGAAAAGGTTGAGTTTTGTTTGAACGGTTTCAGTCCCGAAGCATGGCCCGCTGAGTCTACCTTGTTTAGCTGGTTATACTCCAAGCTCAAGCACTGCAGGCTTCTTTCCAGAGCAGTCGACAAGATCAAAGACTCCAATCCAGGTAGCAACAAGCGAACCTTTGCGTGGTTGTGGTCGCAGCTTGTCGAATTGCTAGATGAGCTGAGAGAAGAAGCAAACGAAGAGTCAATTCGTGACACTCTCATCAAGCCCAAAGCCAAAGCTGCTCCCGCCCCAAAGAAAGAGGAGCGTTCCCGCGATAAGCCGGACAAGCCCACTCCTGCCAATCCAGCCCCTCCGGCCAAGACCAAAGGTTCTGGGAAGGATGGGAAAGACAAGGATGGCAAGGGAAAGGGGGGTAAAGGGAGTGGTAAGGGTGCAGATTCACAGAAAACACCAAACAAGCCAAAGGCGAAATCAGGCGGTAAAGGCCAGGGCTCCAAAGCTGAAGGCAAAGCCCCAAGCAAAGGAAATGCCCCCAAAGCTACCGTACCATGCCTGTTCTTCCCAAAGGGAACGTGTAACCGGGGTGAGAATTGTCCGTTTTCGCATGAGACCTCTCCCGGTAACAAGGCCCCAGGGTCAAAGACTACTGGAGCTAGCGCTACGGCAAAGAGCTCTGCCGCAGCTGTCGCCCTGCTGCTTCCCACTACGGCGCGGGGTGCCTCGGTCGATG